ATGAAACTTGGTGATGCCTCCGCGATATTTGAGGAATCTAGCAGTGGCCTCTAACTACAAGAAGTCACTATGTACCCCCCCCAAGTAGAAATTTCCGCAACAAATTACAGCTTGGGGAGTTACAGTCATGGCAGGTATAGTATATACATGTATATACAGTACTTGCCGATAATTGGACTCCATAAGCATCTCACTTTTCGTCACCATACGAAGCTCCCATTGGTATCCAATGCAATATATGTTACGTACCATATGGATCCATATGGAGGTTTCCTAAAATGGTGCTACCCCCAAATCATCCAGTCATTAGTCATTACACCAATTTTCTATTGAAACCGATTGAAACAACTGGGTGACTTAAGGGGATCATTTGGGTTAAGAATCACCCCATATTAGGTAACTATACGTAGTTTCCTTACAATATACTCTATGGTGAATACCCAATTTTCATGGGAAATTCGGAAATCCCCAATGAAAACCCGGAAATTTCCAGGTTTCGCTACCTTTGCGCCAGCGCTGGTGCCTTGGGCGCGTTGCACGCCTGCGGGGTTCACCCAGCGGTCCGTCGGTTGTGCAATTTTGTGGGAGAACGATGGGGAAAATTATGGGAAAATGATGGACAATGAGTATGCAGAGCGTTTTAAAGCCATGATTAGATTTGGCGCCCAGGTTTCAGACTATCCACTTGCGATTCAGTTATATACTTGATTGGATGAATCCTGAGTTTATCACGGAAGGTGAAACAAATTCTGTAGGATTTTAGGAGCCTTCAGACTCATGTGATTGCATGCCGGTGGAAAATGGTTTTCAGATGGAGATATGTTGAGATTGAAGAGGCTAGTTGAGTCTTAAATGTCAGCCCCGGATTAATAAACCCCGGTTGATTAATTGTGGTGGTTCCCCCAAATAGTGATTTTGATGGCTACTGAAATGGTGGTTCCCCCAAGTTTCAACAGCGGTATAAAGGGTTTATTCATCAAGGATTGACATTTTTATGTTCAATACCCTCTGGTAATTTAACAGTTCGTTACTGAAAATGGCTCATAGAAATAGTTGATTTACCTATTAAAATCTATTATCCAGATATATCCAGATGGTGATTTTCCATAGTTTTTTCTAAACGTTTGCCTGATTTTTTTTGTGGTGCTTCCCCCAGTGATATTTCCCATAGGATCCATGGTGCTGGCATATATGCTAACATGACTGGGGTATATTGATGGTAAATGTTACCATATATAACAGACATGGATCCTATGGGTTATATAACATTAAATCCCATTAAGTCCCATTAGATCCCATGAAGTCCTCCATTTATAGAGGATTTCCCTTCATTCCTTAGTGATATTTTATGGCTACTGTTAAGTGGTGTCGTCCCCAATGAAATCAACAACCCAAGAGATCGGGATTTGATGGGAGGCCCAGCAGACTTCATGGAGATCCTGGATCGACGTGCACGATTCGAGGTGGATTCAGCTGCCCTACCCGGCTGAGTAAACAGCCACAGTTTGCTATGCAAAACCAACCATTCATAGATGATTTACCCATAAAAAATTGTGGAAAACCCCAGAGCGAACTGTTAGTTTACCAGAGGGTACCCAGCTGGATATAGAGATGGAAAGAATATGAAAGAATGTCGCACTTGGCTTTGGAATTCTGACATCGTAGCAACCTCAGGCCTCCAAGTAGAGGTACAGTGCTGGTGCAGATTTTTTGGAATCGCAGAGGCATGTGGACCATATGGTTCAGAAATGTTCAGAATGTGGTAAACCTAACAATAAACATCAATAAACTAACGGTCCCACCATCTCAATGTAGAAATGGGTTGGCATTCACCAATATTTACAATATTTACCATCAAATTGGAGGGGTATGGCATATTATGGCATCATGTCATACATCTTTTTTGTGGATCATGTCGCAGCTTTTTTGTGCAGGTGGATACCATCAATGTGCAGGAATTACTCGACAATCTGCAAGCTTTCTCCTCAGAACCCGCCATGTATCATTCTGACACACCTTGGGACGCAATACACAATGCGTACTGAGTAGCACAGGGTAAGGACTTGGTGTGAATCATACTATATACATTTATTATATGTAGGTGTAAAACAATATATATATATATCTGAATATATTGGTACCATGATTTGATTTAGTGGTACCCGTACTATAATAGTCTATGATATAATATATACTATACATTTATATAATATAAACAGACCAGAGACTAACGTAGAGTTGTTTCGATCGATCGAGGCTTTTCCACAGCTCGAGTTCTCGTGGAAAAGTTACGAGGCAGAGCCCGTAGAGCGCAGGGACATCGTTTGGAGCTTTCCAGAAATGGGGGATCCCCCCAAAAGCAATAGTTTATAATGGACACAATTATGGACAATCCTATGAATTTTGGATCAATTTGGATGAATTAGGGAAAAGCCCGAAACTCCCGTGACTTTGGAAACCTCGTTTTTTTGAGAACTCTTGATTTTTCACATCAAGACTCTGCAACATCAAGCTATGACTGACTGATCCCTCAATGACCCTTGGTGAAGACACCCAGGGTTTCGGTGATGCGATCCGTTCATATGTCCATAAGCCAATCCATGTGTTCATGTGTGCCATGACCGCACAAGAATTCCATACATAAGTTTCGTATAAATCCGACTCAGTTTGGGTTGTCCACAATATAAACAATGTCATGTTTACCATCCCCCAGTCATCACCATAAATATATAGGTGGTATGGTTACCATTCCCAGTCATGGGCGGTAAACATGGCATTGTTTTACACACTATGGTTACATTCCATTGATCCCATCCATCTTAAGCAGCTTGAGTTCTTGAAGGCTAAACGTGTCTGGTTAAACATAAAAATAAAAACATGCTACACTGGGGATGGCCAATTAACTATTGATTCCTATGGATTTATAGGATTTAACCATTGATCAGTAGGGATTTAACCATTGATTGCGGGAATTCTTTGGGGAATTATAGAGATTTAGCATGATTTAACCATCAACAATGGAGATAATGATGGAGATATGGCTAGTAACCTTGGGTAATCAAAGGTGGCTAGCCGTGACATTGTTTCTGTTCAAAATGGAGGTTTCTAGATGGGAAGATCATCGGAGTAAATGGAGGATTTTCCGGCAATGGCAATGATTCCCGGAGGGTAAGACCTATCTGAAGAAGCGAAGCCATGGAAAGCCATAGCAGATTCATCATCTTACTATATAACAAGAAGACCCAGGAAGACTGTTTCAAAATGCAACCAGCCTAGATATATAATTTAAGGTACGCTTGCAAATATTTTGTACCCCAAGCAATAAACATGGATAGTTTCAGATCCTACAAACATTTCAACTCCAATTGTGGTTCTGTCAATCACCATATTCTTAGGTCAATTCAGCCTGGAGAAAATCATATGTTGGTTGTTGAAATCACTATGTTTGCCAGCTTAAGCTGATGTTATATCATAGTTCTTCTGAGAACATTTCGACATTTTCAGCAGCTCAATCTCAGGAACCCGCTTATCCCTGCAGCCTGCAGGATATGTGCATGGAGGAATTCCTGCAGCGTGTTGCGCGGTTTCGCACCGCCGAGGCCTGTGCACAGACATGGCAAGGGCAAGGACCCAACATGGCAGAGCATTTAAGAGAGATTGATGCACTGACCGTTATATATCATATATATATATCATACATATCATATATATCATATATATGATATATATCATATATATCATATATATCATATATATCTATATCATATATATATATATCATATATATCATATTATATATATATATATACATCATATATATCATATCCCCCCCCTTTAACCCTGGAATATTTGGGGGGGGTAAGGCAAGAAATTTCTGAGAAATATTTCACCTGACTACGTGAAATATACCCCCCCCCCACGTATTTTTTTGGGCTTCTAAAAGACGTGGGGGGGGGGGGTTCCTCCGGACGCTGTTCCTTTTTGGACCTTTTTGTCCTTACGCGGATAGGGCCCACGCGCAAACACTGACATCTAGGTAAATGGTAACTGCCGGTTTCCAAGAAAGTAAATAAGAGAGTGAACTTGCCAAACAGCCTTCAGAACATGACGTTCAGCCTTGAATTCAACCACGCCCAAAGCCATTATAGACCAGATTTTTTTAGCTGAAATATTTCACTTTAGGGAGGTGAAATATTTCTAGGTGTGTGGGGGGGGAGACCCCCCCCTAAAGTGAAATATTTCAGTTTTTACCCCCCCCCTTAAAGGGGGGGATTATATATATATATATACATCATATATATCATATATATATATATATCATATATATATATCACATATTTCATATGTATACACACATCATATATATCATATATATATCATATATTTCACGTATATCATATATATAAATATTTCATATATATCATATATATCATATATTTCATATATATCATATATATCATATATATCATATATATCATATATATCATATATATCATATATATCATATATATCATATATATCACATATATATATGATATATTTATATATCATATATATCATATATATCATATATATCATATATTTATCAAATCATATATATCAAATCATGTACATCATATATTTATCAAATCATATATATCAAATCATATATATATATATATCACATATCATATATATCATAAATATCATATTTATATATATATCATGAATATCATATATATATCATATATATCATAAATATCATATATATATATTTATCATATATATTATATATAAATATCATCTATATCATATGTATTATATATACCATATATATCATATTATATATATAGCATATATATCATATTTATCATATTTATCATATTTATCATATATATATATATCTTATATATTTTATATATATCATATATTTATTATATCATATATATCATATATATCAAATCGTATATATCATATATATCATATATATAGATCGTATATATATATATCATATATATATATGATATATATATCATATATATATATCATATATATCATATATATCATATATATCATATACATATATATATATATATATATATCATATATTTCACGTATATCATATATATAAATATTTCATATATATCATATATATCATATATTTCATATATATCATATATATCATATATATCATATATATATATATCATATATATCATATATATCATATATATCATATATATCATATATATCATATATATCATATATATCATATATATCATATATATCATATATATATCATATATATCATATATATCATATATATCATATATGTCATATATAACATATATATCATATATATCATATACATCATCCATATCATATATATATATTTATATTTATATATCATATATATATATATATATATCATATATTATATATATCATAGATTTAATCTATATCATATAGATCATACATATAACATATCATATATACAATATATCATACATACAATATATCATATATATAAATCATATATATATATATCATATATATATCATATATATATATATCATTTATATATATATATATCATATATATCATATATATATATATCATATATATCATATATATATCATATATATCATATATATCATATATATCATATATATCATATATATCATATATATCATATATATCATATATATCAAATCGTATATATCATATGTATAGAGAGCATATAGATCATATAGATGATATACATATATATATATATCATATACATCATATATATCATACATATCATATGTATCATATATATATATATATCATATATATATGGTTTATATCATATATATATATGTGTTATATATATTTTGACATATATATCTATATATTTCTGATATCTAAATCTAAAACCATCTATATATTTTTTGGGGATTGATGTATCTCATTGATCCGCATTAATACATTAATTGACCTTCTTTCCATGCAGAATATGAACAGATTTGACCTTGAGTTTCCTATTGAACAATAGCCATTACTTTTACATGATTGTAAGCCATTGTCAACCATACCCTCTTCTTCTACAAGTAGGGTATGGTTGCTGAAAATCTGTCCATGTCTGCTCATTTCTGGTAAGAAACTCCTGGTCGCCCCAGGACGTGGATCAGTTGGTGGATCCTTTCAATACCCTTTACTTCCTCCAGTCGAATGGACACCTGGCGTTGTGGCTTACCCTCTGGTAAACTAACATAGCTATGGAAAATCACAATTTTCAATGGGTAAATCCACTATTTCTATGGCCATTTTCAATAGCTATGTTAGTCATTACCAGAGGGTAAACGGGATGAGGAAACCTTTGTTTTTCTCACTGGGGATTTCACTTAGGATCAAATCCAAGGAAACCTTGAGAGCAACTACTTGCGCGCGCTGTGCCAGTGGTGTTTGAAGGGCGTCCACCGCCCCAACATTCGATCTGAAAGAAGGCCGACCAGTCAACAGCTGGTCACATTGCACGACTTTTGCCTCGAGTCACTTGCTGAAAATATCGAGGTCTTTTTGACAAGTCAATAAAGTACAAACAACTCTCACAAACTTTCGCATGTTGAGTGACATATGGAGTAACATTAATTAGTTCCTCATGATGTTGCAATGTATTGTTTGTATGCATGTATTTTTGGATAACTGTATATCTGTTATTCTCAGAAAAGGGTACCACAATGGTTTGTCTCAGCACAATCTGAAGCATTTTTGAAGGGCTTGCTCCCTGTAACTGGATTCATGATATCCATGGATCTTCGGTCGCATTTGTCTATATATTATATATATTACGGTATATATATATTATACATATATGGATCGTATGTATTCGTATGTATATAAATTGTATTATACACACACATCAATATTTGCTGACGCATGCTGAAAGTTGAAAAATCGCCGCAACTCGGCAGATGACATGCGAATTCTTACATATACATTCACATTTTTTCAGATTTTTTCAGAAATTTGATGCACAAATAATTCACATTTTTTCAGAAAAAAATCAAAACCTTGATTTATAGAACCTTACTAGACTGGAAACTCTCAAACATATACATTCACATATACATTCACATATACATTCACATATACATTCACATATACATTCACATATACATTCACATATACATTCACATATACATACATATGTAATCAAAATTAAATATATAATATGTGCGTATGTCTCTGTATCTTGTATTTGTTGGTACCATCTCCATGTTCATTAGTCCCCAGCCGTTTTTTGTTAGTTAGATCACCTGTCTCTTGGTGAAGTGGGTGAAATCTCCGTGTACTTAGGCATGGCATTGAGGGGGAGCCAGCCCTTCAAGATGCTTTGGCCTTTTTTGTGGAGTCTGGTGGTGGTCTATGGCATCAGCGCTATGCACAACCTTTGGCGTACCACAAGAAGCGCCGCTACATACGCGACTGGGATCGGGAGTGGGCCATGTGGGGATGAGTCGCGCTATATTTCGGCGTTGGGAAACCAGGGTTATCCACACGCTGACCATCTACCGATGGAAAATCACCATTTTGAATGGGAAAATCCACTATAAATGGCCATTTTCAATAGCTATGTCAGCCATTACCAGAGGGTACAACAGGTGGATCATCCAATTTGGTTATTGACATCCCATGAAAAATCCACCATTCCTATTATTCCTCCACCATCTCCCAGCCCAACTACTGTCCAACTCAGGCAGCGACGACCCCCTGGAAGGCGTCGAGTTGCCCGAGCTCCCTGCACCTCACAGTCTGGCGAGAACGCCCCGCGCGAAGCAGCTGGAAGCGCTGCCGGGGCTGCCGATGCCGGAGGAGAACGGAAGGGCTGCCGATCCTGGGATCCACAATTGGATTAGACATGGATACACTGATAGAAAATTGGATAATGATAAATAAAGAATTACCATATTTTACATATGAATAAATGTTGCATAGAGCCATCATATATATATAATATATATATATACATTGTAATATATTACAGTGAAGTGTATTTGATCCCCAAGGTTTTTTCATGGAAAAAGACAGCGGCCTAAATGGTGGGATCATGGCATCAAATATGTGGTTTCATCCCCTATGAAACCCATGGGTTTCTTTGGGGATTATGATCTGATTTCAGGGAGCTTAGCCAAGAAAATGAGGATATAATGAGATATTAAACACTATACCTGGTTGGTGGTTTGGAACATTTTTGTTCCGTTCAGTTGGGAAGAATAATCCCAACTGACTAATATTTTTCAGAGGGGTTGAAACCACCAACCAGATACTGATGGTCATTAAACTATATTATTGGGGTTTGGGCCAATACAGGGGAACCATCAACAGTATGAGGATAGAATTCATACTATTTATGAATGATGGTTGACGATTGGAGATCAAGCCACCAAGTATTGGGCTGAACCAGCAAGACAAGGACATAAGGCTACAATGATATGATATGATATGATACTGATTGGTGGTTCAAACATGTTTTATTTTCCATAATATATGGGATGTCATCCTTCCCATTGACTTTCATATTTTTCAAGATGGTTAAAACCACCAACCAGGATATGATATGACTTGGGGGTTGGATTTGCTAAGTGGGGATAGCTCAAATGATGGTTTTTAAGTCATTGGACCATGCTGGATCATATGGGGATGGCTCAAACTATGTTTAGTAGTAGCAGTCTAGTGATTGGGGTGCCCAATTTTGACTCATACCCACATGGTTCTGAATGGTTGTATATGTATATCTGTATATGAATATATGTATGTATATATATATATATATGGGCAGATTATAACGACCTCACTGCGACCTCACTGGAATCACTCATCCCAAAATGGCCTTATTTCAGGTTTTGCGGCTACGGTCAGCTGGGGTTGGGCCCGCTAAGGAAGATTGGAGGCCTTATTTCAGGTTAGTGAACTATTATAATTTGCCCAGATGTATAAATATATATATATACATATATATACATATATATATATATACATGTGTATATACGTATTCTACTGGAAGTTTCCCTCACAGTTGGTCACTGATTGCTAAACCTCGATTGGTTGATGGTTGCAGTTTTTTTTTGATCCGAAAACACAGGACCATTGTGGTGATACAATGAACCACTATGAAGTTACTTGGGAGTTGATTGAGTAGTGATCAGGTCATGCTTGTGTGTTGATTTGGGTTGGTTTGCAGGGTCTGGACATTGTTGGTTTGCAGGGTCTGGAAATTGTTGGTTTTCTGCGAAAAAGGTGTTAAACCAAAGACTACTGTAATAAGTAATATTTTGAAAAAGGCCACTAGCATCGTTTGTAGATTTGCTTAATTGGTGTTTTTGTTTGATCCAAAACTGATTTCTTTGATGTAGGTTTGATAGAGGTTTGATGGAGTCTTCTTGGTGTTTTTTGGCACAAAATTTTATTTGAAATAAGTCTAATGTCAACAAGTCGGAAAAACACATGCCGTTAACACCATAGATGTCCTTTTCCCATTGGTTGGTTTGATTAATAGAGGGGTGTGTTTACCCGTTTAACCACAGGTAAATGATGATAGATGGTATGCCAAACCGGCCCCTCTATTTTTACCAAAAGGACATTATGGTTAACATCCACTCAAAAAATCCAACTTTCCCTTTTTTTTGGGGGGGAGGTGTTTTCCCTAAACACCAATTCTGGGGACGGTGGGAAATCCTTCGTTCCCGCAGGACACTGCCGTGGACGGTGTGGACTCGGAGGTAGCTCCCAGGCGGCGAAAAGAATCTGGGCCATCTCCGTTGTTGAAGGATCCAGAGGACAGGCCCCAGCTGGATCGTCGTGACGGCACCTGGTATTGGATTCGAGGCCAAAAAACGGAGCGGATGCAGTCACGCCGGGACCCGAACAGAGACCAGAAAGTAGAATGCCAGATAGAATGTCAGAATAGATGCCAGATAGAATATCAGAATGAATGTCAGAATGAATGCCAGAGTATATGTCAGATAGAATGGTAGGAGAAGGAGCAGAAACAATCTGTGCTTCCATGATGTTCCCAGGGCCGTGATCATTTTGATCATGTTCTGGCCAGAATTGGTGCGTCTCCATGGATATTGGATTCCATTATGATCATGCCCGTTTCTTTGCGTTCTGGGAAACCCCTGGAACACTTTGGAATTTGACTCTATCGCCAACCATGGATATGGATTTGTTAAAAAAATGCAACAACTCCAATGGTTTATCGTCATTTTATACAACATATCATCCTTAGAAGTGGCCATTTTGAATCAGTATCTCCCACCATTTTTTGGACACTCCCATCTGCAATTTTAGGCTTTCCAAACACACACACCCTCTGCTAACTCAATATGAATTATAACTATTGAACACGGCCATTGAGTTCGTTGAATTTCCATGTTTTACCTATAACGCCTATAAAACATGGTCATTTTCCATAGCAAACTATTAGTTTACCGGAGGCTAGTTGGTGGATTATATCCCATTATCTTAGTATGTATGTATGTACTATGTATATAAATCTATATATAAATAATTATATATATATATATTGTGGTATTATTGTATATTTCTATTATCCCATTATCCAAGTATTTCCCCATTTATTTTTCATCCCGGGAGATCCGAACGTCGTCGCTGTCGCCAGGATACCTTGGTCTATCGCATCCGCACGCGCAGTCGCAAGGGGCCGCGGCCGCGGCACCAGAGGGACCACCTGCGTGGCTCGGAGATATAGTTGGGGCTGAAGTTGGGGTGAAACCATTGGTAAAAACCATGGTAATAAGCACCATAAGTTACAATGTGAGGCCCCAAGATATAAGTTGGTTTAGATTCGCCCCAGTAACTATAGTTATAAATGCCATCAACCATAGTTATTGCAGTTATAAACCAACTTAGCTATCTTGGGGGCCTCACATTGTAGGATCCAATTCCTATAACAATGATTAATTATCTGGTTGGTGGTTGACTGGAACCATGGAATGGATTATGACTTTCCATATTAATTGGGAATAATACTCATCCCAACTGTTACTCACTCATATTTTTCAGAGGGGTGGCTCAACCACCAACCAGACAAAAAACCATGGCCGAAAAGGGATTTCAAGTGATTGATGTATAGATTTATCACTGAATTTTGGAGGACTTTGATATGTGCATCTTTTGGGGGGGAACTATACACATGTGGATGGGAAAAACACGAATCATTACACCGGTATCCAGTAGGTGGATGAGACCGTCAACCGCAGAGCTTTTCTTTTTTACTGTATCTGATTGAACATGTTCTTGGGGGCATTTTTGTCATATACATATATATAATTACAAACAAAACAACACAGATTATAGAAGAAATCCAAGCCAGCTCGGAAAATTCAAGAACCTCCCAAGTTCTTGGTGGCTCTTTAAGATTAGACTTGGGCAATCAAACGTGCTTGCTGGAAAATCATCCACTTTATAGATGATTCCACATTTCACCGATTTAACCCTCCATTTATAGGATATAAAATGGATATTTTCCATTTTATATGGCATTTTCATGGATTTTCCACCTGGTGCCACGTTGGGTTACTCCTCGAGGAAAGCGCGACTGGGAGAAACAGGAAGTCCCAGGGCCTCTGCAACTTGGAAGAGCTGGGATTTTTTTTGTTGAGAAATGACAGTTGGAAAACCTTGTTGGTTATGAAAGAAGGGCTGTACAAATGATGTTAAATGATGTTAAATGGGTTTCATACCAAAGGGATCCAAAGGGTTGATTGACTACTCGTACCTGCTTGGGGATGATTATCCCACGACTAAAACATCATAAAACCATGAAAAATGTGGGTTAATGTGTAAACTCAATGCCGTAAACCATCCCAGTAGCCAACCATGACTGGGGTAAAACACGTTGGCCATTTGTGATGGAATCATGACGTACCCTCTGGTTATTTAACGTAGCCATGGACAATCACCATGCTATTAATAGGTAAACCATCTATAAATGGGCCATCTATACCATGGCTATGTTAAATAAAAAGAGGATATATCAGACAGCAAAAAAAACAAACGTGTCTTTTGGTAGTATCTAAGTGGAGTTGGCCGGATCGGATTTGTGCAAAGTGTGCCGAATCTAACACGATCAACGGATGGATCAACTGTGATGATTGTGCTAGCTGGCACAGACTCTCAATCTGTAGACAAGACATCATCTATTTCAGTTGGTGAAAGCTGGTTTTCGCCACTTCAGGTCAAAACCCCCCTGTTGCTTGCTGCAGCACGACTCTGTTGGTGATACAATGTTATACCTATTCTATCGACGTTGTCGTTGGGCGATGTCATATTTCTATACTTTTTGCTGAGTCTATATATAAAGCGGTACATCCAATAAGAAACTATCTTCAATAGAGGAGTATTATTGGGTACATGGGATGTAAAAGTACCCCCAAATGGTTGGTGAAAGGGAAGGTTTTCCCCATGTTTGCAGCCAGATGCCTGTCAAGCCCCGCTCGGTCCATGTTTGCTGATCTTCCCTGAAATACAAATCCGGATCATAGATCTGACGTATGTTTGCTACATCCAATAGATCATGGCTATTTCCCTTATGATATGTTTCATGGTCACAAGCAAGTTGATTTTTGGGTCTATGAAACAACAGTTTCATGGTTTTCATGGATTGTTATTCATTGTTGTCGTGGTCATGATAAGTCATTGAAGTGGTTTACGGACAAGACATACAGGGTCCACTATGGTGTTTAAACTTTAAACATGGTGTTTTTGCATGTTTTTGCATCTGTTCTCTTTTCATAAAAAACCGTGGGTTTCCTGCCGGTTTTTCTGCCGGTTACAAAACCCCCTTCGGCAGCGATTCCGATTCCTGAGGTGGTACTATGGGGGCTGGAAAATGCGACCAAAGTCTCTGGGATTACTCTGAAAGGGGTAGGGTTTACCAAGGTTTTTCTGGCTAGTTATGAACATCTTGGTTAGATGATGTACATTTATTACATACATTAAAGTATAGATATTTCAAATGATGTAGTTATTATGTACAAGTATGGTTTTCTGGTTGGCTATGAAATTCTTGACTAGATGATGTACAATGTATAAAAGTAGAAATATTTCAAGATATTTCAAGTGAATACTTGCTCATGGTGTTAATAATATAATATATGTATATATTGTACTAAGCTGTTTTAAAGCAACATTTGTTGGCGGTTTTCATTGTCATTGGTTAAGCATTTTTGGGCCCGATCCCCAAAAAATTCCCCTCCTCCTAAATGTCCATAGGATCCAGCATGAATTATAGCTGGCGCATTCTGAATGTACCAACCATTCAATTGTCATTTCAGGATCCTAAAATGGAGGCACCTACCAGATATAAGGCCTATATAAGGCCTATGTAAGGGAATATCACCACAAAATATGGCCTTATATGGTACAGTACCTCCATTTTAGGATCCTGAAATTCCCATTGAACCATCCCATAGTGTCGGTAAAGCAATTGGTTTATACCCATATGTTCATGGTTTATACATGTTTATACCACCCATGGAGATTTTTCGTGGGGGTTGTTTTGCTGATTGCTATGCCAACATTAGATGCGGTCCCAAAAAAGCACAAGTTCTTGTGGTGAAATCAGGGACAGTTTCTACATGTTTCTACCCATTGTACCAATGTTTACCAATGCAGTTTCCCCATGTTTACCAAGTTCATCAATGTGTGTGAATTCTTGCAATATTCACATGTATTCACCATACCCCAATTTTTAAAACGTCCATATTCACCTTCATACTCACCCATTTTGGTCCCCAATTTTCAAGAGGTTTCTCCGGCAGGTGATCCTTACTCAACACGTCCAACCTGTGTCCTCTCCCATCAATGGGAGATCTCCAGGATCCGATTCAATGGAGGTACGTTAGTACCATATGTTTGGCTATATTTTGTGGTGATATTCCCTGAAATTTAGGCCTTAACAAAAAGGCCTTATATATGGAATCGGTACCTCCAATAAATTGGTTCCTGAAATGGCCATTGATCCCAGGTATCAACCTGGTCAGAGCTTGGGGCCTCGCTATCCCTACGCGCGGGTTCCGGTGGGTCCCCGAGGGGCTGCCTGGATTTTACGCAGGCTCCGGTGCGGGTCCGGGTGGTCCTGGATGTTTTTTCGTGAGAGATGGGATTTCAATGGGAAGCGAATGGGATTTCACACATGAATTAAAGAATATTATATAAAGATACTAAAGATATCAACTCTATTTTTTAAGTGGGACTTTTATGGATGTGGCGGGTTGATGGATGAAGATTTCGGTGTTTTTCTCTTGAAACGAGATAAAACGAGTCCCAAATGTAGACGTCACCTGATATCTCTACAATTTTGGGTTGAGATTTTGTTCTTGAAACAGCTGTACATTGTGTACATTGTAGATGTGATGACTACTGACTGGCTTAAAAATTCATTTTTAGGACCTTTTTCATATATCTTAAAAAACACAATTAGACATATTTTGAGGAGTCAGGAGTTGGGATTCAGGACTGCCAGCACCTCATTTTTCGGTAGTACTGTACCAGTGATCAATTCACCATGAAACGACCGACGAGTTGTCATGTTGCATCTTTCCCTTGACAGAAATCTTCTACCTTGAAGAACCTTGAAGAACCTTCAACATCTATTTCACACCTCAAGCATCCTCAAAGAACATCAAAAATGTCTCCCGCGAAAAAACAAGTTGGCCATGTCAATGAATATATCCCCATTGTTGTCTGATTTTCCCAAAGCACCATATACCCTCTGGTAAACTAACAGTTCGCTATGGAAAGATCCACCCATTTTTACTTAGGGTAAATCCACTATTTCTATGGCCATTTTCAATAGCAAACTGTTAGTTTACCACCCATATAAAACCTCCATTTCGGTCAGGGATTTCCAAGCTTGGGCCGCACAGGTAACTCACCAGCAGTGGCGGAAACCGGGGCAAGTCCCAGAAATCCATGGCCTGGTGTTTGAGGTTACCCTCTGGTAAACATCACGTACAAAAATCATCAAAAAACATCAAAAAACTATGGAACATCACCATACATCACCATTTTCAATGGGTAAATCAACGAACTAAATGGCCATTTTCATCCATTTTCCATAGCGAACTGTTTGTTTACCAGAGGTTAGTGACTAAGTGTGATTTTTTTCAGTCAGACTATATCAGATTTCACCAGGGAGATGGGGCAAGGATATGCAGAATGTTGGATGGTGAAATGACAAAGATGGCAAGCATCTGTGGGTGTTGAATTTTGACCCACCCCCGTGTTGACCCTCTGGTCAAGTGTCACTTGCCCAGAATGCGTTTGAGACAATTTTTAGATCTGTTCAGGTCGTTTCCTGCAGATATTTCTTACAGAATTCCCTTTTCGTTTTTGAAACGAGGAACTCCTGAGATTTGTGGAACAGTTTCACCTGTCAGGGAGCTTTCATCGCAAGTTTCCCATGGCGTCGCTTCAGTAAAAGATGGCTGGTGAATGCTGGTGATTTTTCGAGATTTCTGGGGATTCTGCTCCGGACTGCAAGACACAGAAACAGTGAGCAGTGTACCCTGGCCTTCTTCAGGTAACTGGTTAGCAAGCGGTCACCCCTATGACAAGAGTATCGGGAGATCAATTTGAATATGGAAATGGCTTCCTTACGGATGCCAAAATTTGGGGTACTTCAGTCCCTTTTTTTTCAGACAAATCCATATTGATGAGTTATATTCACATACATATATATATATACACACATACTACTCATTGCTTTTTGCGACCCGATGCTTGGGGGTGCAGTCGGGATCATAAGAAAAAATAGCTACGGTGTAGCACCTTTTTTCCCCCTTCAACTATGGGTTTACATCCACCAAAGTACTGGGGTTATGTGGATGTAAACCCATAGTTTACATAACCAAGATACTGGGTAAATTTCATCACGACCTCACTCTTCTCCCTCACTGGGAATCATGGTGAATGTTAGGGGAATCATCCCCTTTTATGGCCGCAAGATTCAGGGGAATCATGGTTAGTAAGGGGAATCATCCCCTTTTATGGCCGCAAGATTCAGGTGAGTGAAATATTATGGCCTTTACCCAGAAGATAGCCTGTGAATCCGCTACCCTCAGCTGACCCCTCCCCATCAAAGCCTTTGCATCGGAAAATCCGCTGCTCGGCTCACGGGCTCAGTGCAGTAGTGGCATAGCAGCTTTCCACTCGGTGCCGGGGCTGCGGAGTCTCATCCTGGAGTGGATCGGGAAAAACGGCTGATTTCAACATGATGATTGCCACAGAGATGGGACAATCCATAAAACAATAGGTTTGTCCACTATTTAAAACGATAGTGGATAGAATGTACGTACAAACCTATCCATTTCTATATTCTGTCCATTACACGATAGGTCTGTATTTATGTATGTACATCGGTCTATAAAACGACAATGGTGGGCTTTTCAACGGCCAACAGCGGCTACAAAGTTGGAGATTTTAACAAATTGAGGGTATAGGTACCGAACACGGCTGGCTTTCGATGTCTCAATCCCATCCTGAAATCTCAATGTCGGTTTGAAATATGTGTGGCCTAATCCTCAAAGGTTCATCATCATGTTCCTTCAAAACACGGAAACTGGGGATAGGAGATCCTTGATTTTCAGGTCCGCAGCCATATCTGGTTGGTGATTTGGAACCATGGAATTTTATGACTTTCCATATATTGGGAATAGCAACCCCAACTGACTAATATTAGCCATATAATTAATCATCTGGTTGGTGATTTCAAACATTTTTATTTTTCCATATATTGGGAAGACGAACTCATATTTTTCAGAGGGGGGTATACCACCAACCAGCATATAATTAATCATGATTTGTCTGGGGAAGATCCGCGGCCGATCAACCGATCAAGAACCAGAGCTCACGCAGGTTACTGGATCCATGTACTTGTAATCATTCTTGGGCAGTGTTGGAGGAAGTTCATATTAGTGTGTGTATATATATATAGTTATAGATATATTATTAGTATAATATAATTATATATATATTATATATATATTATTAGTATATTTATATATATATCATTAGTATATGTAATTATATATATAATATAAGGGGTTGGAAAATGCATGCTTCTGTGTTGGATGGTGTTTTCGAACAATGCTTCTGTTTCAACCAGTATTTTCACGCAGCTTGATGGTTTTTCGCAGTCCTTTTCAGATGATGTGATCATTCTGTACTACTGGGTCCCGTCAGCTATACTTGTCGTCAGAAATGATATGATTGCGAAATGTCATCAATGTACCCTCTGGTAATGGCTGACATAGCTATTGAAAATTGCCATTTATAGTGGATTTACCCATTAAAAATGGTGATTTTCCATAGCTATGTTAGTTAACCAGAGGGTATTTACAGATAACTAGTTATACACTTAGCAGGAACCAGTAGCATCTCACTAGAATACTAGAATCAGTAAAAGGTGAGCCCCCGTAGTTGTAAGTTGGTTTATAACCCCCATGAATACTATAGTAATTACTTATCTATCCCCCTAACCCAAACGTTGACCAAGTGATGTGCATCAACTTAGCTAGCCTCACCTTGTAGTCCCCCAGCTAACAGTGGCACATTGGCACTTGGCAGGTGCCACGACCAGTCAGCCATGTCTTACGCGCTCTACAACAACCAGATGGAGCACTTGGCTGAAGAACAATCTGACCAGGAGATTCGCGGAGAACCAACTAATCTATCTCAACAATTTTGCAAACAAAACTTCGATGAATTGCCATTAACGTATAGGTGCCCTCGGTGATATGTGTAGTGAACACATTGTAATTATATATATATATGCATATATATATGATATACACTGACATACACTTGGACTAAGTATATATTTGAAGGGAAAGTACATGGACGATCCACTCCGATTGACTCAAAATGTGTGGCACCACCAAGCAACTCTACATTTGGTTGGGAGGGGATCGGAGTTGTGTTGGAAAAACTGCAAACTTAGGAAAACAACAAACTTAAGGAAAGCCTGGGCTTCCGAGTGAAACCCTGGGAGTTCTGAGCACGACCTTTTGTTGGGCGACCAACAGTCAGGAAACTATCTAAACCTGTTGAACACATTTGAGCCACGTTCCAAACCCTTGTGTTCATGTTTAGGAAGGGACCCTGCAAAGGTGTGGCGTAAGCAAAGCTGTGGTGAGCGTAAGCCAGCGTAAGCTCCGCGTAAGACAAGATATGTGCATGTGCGTAAGCAAAACCTGTGCGCAATGGCGTAAGCGAAAAGTGTTGGCAATGGCGTCTCAGCATTTCCTTAGTTGGTGCCAGGATATAGGACATCATTATTATTACTCATAGGATCCATGTATGCTATATATGGTAACATTTACCATCAATATACCCCAAATGTTGGCATATATACCATAAATGGATCCTATGGGTTATGGTGATGATGGTCATGATGGTCATGATGGTTACTATTTCTTATACATCCAGGTGCCATGGCTCCGCCATGACCACCGAGCAAGGACTTAGAAGCTGAGCCGATCGGATTTGAGATGTCATCCCCGGAGTCTGTGCAGGTTGGGATGGGAAATTCAGAAAACGGATGCGCCCGTGGCGACGGCAATTGTTGATTCATGATTTCAGAAGGGTTCCCAGAAAAAAGGGGGGTGTGTCCATGGCGATTTTTACTGGAAGGTTTAGGTGGTAAGCGCAAGCGGGGTGGGGGGTTGGAAGTTGAAGGCAGAGTTTTTGCACCAAACTCAGTGGTTTTGGGATAGCTGCAAGAAGCACGCAAATCTTGAAAACCGGATTAAGTGTGTCAGATGATAGGGAAAAAAATGTTGTGGATTGCTGGCTTGGGTTTCAGCCTGCTGTATGGCAGTTGCCAAGAGCGCAAATAGTGTTTGATGAGATGTGGGCACCCAAAATAGGCGAGCAGCCCCAGCTAGGCTGATTTGGGGCGTCGCAATATGTCCCATGATTTTTCAAACATAGACCACTTGTGCTTTTTTGCCCAGTAACATCTAAGCTGTGGAGCAGAGGGAGCAAACTCATGTATACACATGTATATAATATATTATATATTCTATATATTCTATATATATATATCTACAAAATTATGTATATCTATGTAGATGTATTATGACCATCACTTAGGATATTCGAATCGTTTTCCAAGCCTTGAGAGTATGGGATCATATGGGATCAGCCAGGCCTGCCGTGCGCTGCGACATGGCATGATTGCTATGGCTGTTTGGGCCCTGAGATGGCTAGGTGTGTATGGCTATCTGGGTCAACCAACTGGTTAGATATGGTTACCATCTGGTTATTTGACATAGCCATGAAACATCATGGAACATCAACATGCTATTAGTAGGTACCCTCTGGTAAACTAACATAGCTATAGAAAATCACCATCTTTAATAGGTAAATCAACTATAAATGGCCATTTTCAATAGCTATGTTAAATTACCAGAGGGTAAACCAGGTAAACCATCTATTTCGATTAGGGCCATCGAAAAACCATGGCAAACTGTGAATGTCATAACCAGAGGGGAGATATCCCATCTGCAACCCATGGTGGTCGTATATTTACCTACAAAACTGGGTGATTTATGGGGTAAATCTTGGGTACAAACGATTAGATCTTGCGATGGGTGAAATTTGTCATCACCGGTATCTAAGATTCGCCATGCTATGTATTAATACTATATATATATACATAGTATATAGATATATAATTATATATATAGTATATAGATAAGCCATAACAACAAATAATTACTTCACTTCGAATGATCCCCACCATGACATTTATACATTTTCTTACTGGCAAATCTTCTGGCATTCTATCTGACATATCTTCTGGCATTCTATCTGGCATACATATCTTCTTTCTTACTGGCAAATCTTCTGGCATTCTATCTGACATATCTTCTGGCATTCTATCTGGCATTCTATCTGGCATATCTTCTGGCATTCTATCTGGCAAATCTTCTGGCATTCTATCTGGCAT